ATCCATCCTGGGGGTATCCATCCCAGGGCCTTCCATGCTGGTTCCTTCTATCCTGGGGACATCCATCCTGGGGCCTCCCACCCTGGTTCCTTCCATCCTAGGATTTTCCATCCCAAGGCCTTCCACTCCATGGGGAAGTCTCCTCAGGACCGGGCTGCAGGCTCTGAGGTGCACTTCTGCATGGAAAAGGGAAAGAAATTTGAGGTTGATTCCTCAACGCATCCTGTCTTTCAGTTTGGCTTGTCAAATCTTTCTCTCTTGTTCTTTCTTTCTTTCTGTTACTGCTGACAAGGAGAGCACGGTGTCCTTTGCTGTTCAGCACATTTAATTGACCTCAATCCCTTCTGTTCCTCTTCTTCCTGGCTTAATGATGACTGAATCTTTGTCAGCCTCTGCCTAACTTAATGCAGCTAGCTTAGACTACTGGTATCTCTCCTGGAGGTCTTCACACAAGCTTAACTCTCTCCATTGGCTATGGGGGGAATTTAGCACTTTCTCCAGAGAACTTGCTCCTGGAGGCACGGGTTAGGGGTCTGGATCCCAACAAGAGAAATGTGGGCATCTTCCTTCAAGAATCATGAAACCGTTCCTTAAACAGCCCTGGTCGTGGCTCTGCGCAAACCTCAGGAACGGAGCTGTGTTGCAAGCACCCTGGAAAGGAGATGTGCTCCTAAACCCCACAACTTTTCACGGAATACCTCCTGTTGCTGTTTCCCGTCCCTCTCTGCTGTGTGCAGAAGCACACGCACAACCCTCCACGCATCCAGCCCTTGGAGGAGGGTCCTTCTCCTGGTCGTAGCTCCTCACAGACGGCTGTCTTGCCTGAGCTGCTTCCCACGCGTGCACCACGAGGAGTTTCTGTTAGCTCCAAGGTTCGCCGTTTGCCTTTATATTCCCAAGTCTCAGCTCAGGAGCAGTGACGGGGCCAGATGACCTCTGTCCGCTCCTTTTTTAATCTTGTGGAAAAACATTTGACACAAGCTCCTGTGACATTTTCAAGCACTTGGGATTCCCATCTGCTCCTCCACGAGCCAAGTTCACACCTGCTTCGCTCCCAGGCCCAGCTAGGCTCGGATGTCACCAGCCCAGGGTTAAGGTCCTCTCGCTCTGAAGGCTGAAAACCTCTGTTGGCACCAGACACCCAATTCCCCCTTTCCAGCCAGCGCAGGCTGTGTCTTCACCGGGCTGGACAGT